AAAACAAACTACGGAAATCAAGTTCGTCAGAAAATTTTGCAAACGCACTTTTAAAATATTCGTTTGCTTCTTCTTTAAATTTTTCCGCTCTGGCCGCATCCTCTGGCGATATTACTCCCGTAATTTCGGCGTTCTCACTCATTTCGCGGTCAATATTGGTAAACTAATGCGACGATATAAAACGACTTAAATTATATCGGAACGTAGACAATAAATAACACATTAAAGAAACAATAATTTTTTTTTTATATAATAGGCTTTATTGCAGACACACTGAAATCGTGAAACCTACTCTCAACTACCCCATGAAGTGATTCGATCGATCGAAGTCGAGAAGCAACGAGAACTATCGATCATTGCGATTTAAATGATATGTAACTATATCAGTATATACATTATAAATATAAAATACGAGTTTTCATTTTTAATTTTATATGATTTTTTGCAATTTTTTTGTATTCTGTATTTTTTATTCATCAGGGTAAAACAATTGTAATAATTCAAAAATGAAATTACAATATTTGAAATTGTCATCAATACGTTTTTATCAACAAATGCCTAGTTTAATTAGCTTATATCGTAATATTGTCTTTCGTAGAAATTTCTTTCTTTTTCTCTCGTAGCGGTAAATTTTGTCATTAGTATGATCCATTCGAAACTCTGCTATTACGCTCTCTGCATTTCAAAGTGTAACCTAACTTTTAAAGCATAAGAGAGTTGAATGATTTGTGATTGACAGCATTCATGGTATGCAAAAAAAGAAAAACGTACATAACATATTCAAAAGATAATACTGTGACGTCAAGACATGTCAGTTAAATAAAATATATATTGAAAATATGTGGCCGCATTTCCTCGAAAGGAAGTTTCGTCGAGTAGTACATTTGCTATATGTCTGATTGGACGTTTCATATCAATATTGTTATTAAAAATCAGACGTTCAGTTTAAGTTTCGACTGATTTTGCAACCTCGTTATATTGCATTCAACAACGACAGATTTAAGTGATGTGCATGAGTTGAAAAAAGGTCATTGATTTAGTTAACCTATACATTACATATTATAAAAGCACTTACAGAAAGTGTTGCGTTTTAAACGCTTCGATATCGTTTGAAAGAAACGACTAGCTGTTGTGATGGCTAAAGTGATCAGAACAATTTGTGCTGCCACAAGAAACTTGACATCACCAATGAGGAACTTTGCAGCAAACCGAGCATTACCTTTGCAGGAAGCTGCTTTGGAGGAACGTTGCATTCTCGTTGATGAACTAGACAAGCCTCTTGGCGATGCTACAAAAAGAGATTGTCATATTGTGAGTTCTGATGGGCAAGTTTTACTTCACAGAGCATTCAGTGTCTTTTTATTCAACAACAAAAATGAACTATTACTTCAAAAAAGATCTGCCAATAAGGTAATTATTTATATAATTTATATGAAAATTATAAGAGAAGAACATGATAAGAACATGATAAGAATGTGATCATTTTTTGTTGATTTTCTGATTCTAATGCCACTTTATGAATAGACGGAACAATTTTAATATGAAGTAATCATTAACGTTTTAACATTATAGCAAGCAATATTTTAAAAATTCTGAAGGACAATAGAAAATAACAAATGAAAAGAAGTTTTAAGATTACTTGTAACGTAAAATTGCAGTTAAATTTTTAAATTATTTGTAAAAACTAGAAAATGTAATTTGCCGCTATAATCTCTGACAAATTTCTATGTGCAAAGAACACACGAAGTCATATTATCCTTTGGTTACTACAAGATTAGATATAATCTGTCTCTGTGTTGATTTGTCAAAGATTTGTCAGAATAGAGCGGTAGTGAATATATAATAATACAAAGTAATTTTATTTCTATGATCTGACAATCTTATTTACTATATTCTTCTCCTATAGTTTTCATATAGACAGTTATATATTTACATTAGAAGAAGTATATTAGACGTGAAGGATTTTCTTTTTTTTAGATAACATTTCCAAATCATTATACAAATACATGCTGCAGTCATCCATTATTTGAAATTCCCGAAGAAACTGAAGAACATGAAGCAATAGGAATTCGTAGGGCAGCAAGAAGAAGATTGAATTATGAGTTAGGAATTCCTTTGTCTGAATTATTATTATCGGATTTTTTGTATCTAACAAGAATTCATTATCATGCGGCGAATGGTACATGGGGCGAACATGAAATAGATTACGTGTTATTTATACAGAAGAATAACATTACAGTGGATCCAAATCCAGATGAAATCAGTGAAATTCGTTGGGTATCAAAATCAGAAATCAACGATTTTGTGAAAAGTATTGATTCCCCATTGAGTCCTTGGTTTAAATTAATTCTTAAAAATAAATTATTGTTATGGTGGGATAATCTGAATGCATTAGAAAAAATGCAAGATCATACAACGATACACAAGTTTATTTAAAATCTTCAAATGAATCCTTTATTTATGGTATTTTATTACCAAATATTTAAATAATTATTGATTTAAGAATTTCAAGACAAAATTTGTACAAGGTGATTATTTTTATGCAATCAGTTGTGCTATGAATATGTAATGAGTTGCATACTATAAATATGCAATTAATTGTACATTATGAATATGCAGCATAAGTACAAAGTAAATTTGTTCATATGAACTTGGACTTTGTAAATATATTTTGATAACTTTTGTAATTATACTGACTGTAAAACAACTTATATAAATTTTATGAATACATTTTTATCACAAAAAAAAATAATTTTGTAAATTCATAGTAAAGCGCAAACTAATATTTTTAACATATTATATTTTTACTAAAAAGTATATAAATAAAAATAGATCATAAATACGAAGATATAAAAAATTGCAAACAAATGGTAAACAAAGTAATTTACTATACTATCTTCATTTATTTATCTTCCATTTTGATTATTCTTAAAATTAAAGAATAAAATAGTTTTTACCATTAAATAATGTAATACAATTAATAAACATGTAACAGAGCTAATAATTATATTTAATATATATATATATAAAATTATATATATATAAATAGTTTTTTATTTGATGTTATTTTAAAAATTAATAAAAAAATGGTTTGATTTTGCAGTGGTTTGCGTATAAGGTTTCATTATTTTCTCGCAATACACATAATTTTTCAATTATTCTAACAATAAACTGTATTATGTTTATGAATTATTATTATATGATTATTAAATTTTATTGTTTTACAATGGTATTATCATAGCATAATACATTAGCACAGGTTTAATTTTTAATGGTTTAAAAGTATGTATTGATTTAATAGAAAAGAAAGGTAAGTATCTTCATTTTTAAAAAGAGGAATATTTTGAAAAAGTCGAAATTCAGGAGGAAAAATTGCATTATAATATTTAGTTATAGACAAATAATAATTATGTTATTTTACGTCTACCTCACTTAAATATTATACAATATTTGTATTCATTTAATAAAAGTTTTATTTTAATTTATCATTATTTATCCTTTTATTCATAAGAAAAAGAAACAAGATATTTTACAATGCAATGTCGTTTTGTTAATAGATTCGATAAAAATTAGTTTACAGAACGTCATATTTTTAAAAACAAATTTTCCTTTTAAATAAAACAGCATTACGACATAAACGTTGGAACATAGATACGGAAAATATTTACACAGTTTACAACCATGAATGATGCGTTGTGAAATATTTTGTCTATCTATGCAGAAGAATTAATAAATAAAAATATGAGAACTTTTTCGTAAAATTCCGATTAAATTTGTGTAATTTACGATTTCTTAAAAAATTTTTTTATAAAATAACTTCCGAGTATACAATTTAAATGTATTTATCATAACTCAATTTATTAAACAGCTGCGTCATAAAAATAGATAATAAAAAGTAATTGTATAAAATACTCTTATTAAAGTTTTTTCATATTTTTCATATGATTTTATATCATTCGAGATTAAAATGGGATATCCTATATATAATAAGTACACAAGATACACAATAAGCATAAAATATACGATATGTAAGTTTCGCCCACGAAAAAATGTGTAATATATATTAAAAATATGTATTAAATAAATAATAGTAAAAATAAGATAGTAATAAAAGTATTAAATAAATGAAAATGATAATAAATATATAATTATAGTATTTATTATCGTAATAAATTAGTGGTGTAAATTTACAAT